CAAAAGATTTGAAACGTTCACAACAAATCACTAACGTTAAGCCCTGTTGTTACATCGAGTTTCAAGTCACAATTCGAAAATCAATTTTCCTGAAGAGGAACTAATGCATTCGTTTAAAAACTACCGTAAATTTGTAATATGTCTGTAGCTTATTTATGTCAATATGATGTGCATAGTTTCAACTCAAAAGCGATTAATTAGTTGGGAGGAACTTTCTTCGAGAGATCTCTAAATAAAAAATTCATACTCATACCGTTTGTGTCACTTTTGGTTTTTTCGAATCTTTCAAATAGAATGGATTCATTTGTTCACTTTGTTTTCTTGATTCTCGTTGTTTTTCTAATTCTTCAGCAGTTAGTCCAATATATTTTTTTGATTTTTGATAACTTAATGTAACACCGGAATATAAATTAGAATTATAATTTTCTCCATTATCACCATAAAATAAATCTTTATTATCATAATATGAACTTGTTGTTATTGATTCATCTTCACTATCCGATGGAGGATCATTTATCCAAGCATTCAAATCCAAACTAGAATATAATCAAATCCAAAAAAAAAATTTATCAAACAAATTTTATTTTACCCATTTGGTACAACAACTTTTCTTTGAGCTTTAGCAGCAACTTGATTAAGAACACAATCAAATAATGCTGATAATTCATTAACATTAAATTCAGATTTTTCAATTAATTTTAATGTTGTTTTAAGAATATGTAAAATAACACTTGCCTAAATAAATAATTTCTTTTTTTTATATTTAATATTTCGAGCTATTGGTAAAAGACATCCGAAGATTTATATTATGATTATTTTTATAGCATTTTTCATGAACTTTTCAAGTTCAATTAGTTTCGATCAATATTTTCAAAAGAGCAACTTCTTAAAATTCTATAACGTATATCAATTGTCTGATACATAAAAAAACCTACAGTATACTTGAGCAAATAGATTCTCTCTAAAAATAATTTTGTAAACTTTGGATAGCTGATGTTGATTAATTGTGATCTATCTAGCCTCTTTCATTCGAAAGATTTTTGACAAATAGTTACTATTTATGGTTTGTGTTTAGAACTAAACAATCGATGTAAAACTTTGAAAAATGTATAAGTTTCAACTTGTATTATTTATTTGAACCTTCGCCAATTCGAAAAATGAGTGATCATAGTAGAAGCCAATTAGGACAGGTCTATATCCGAGGTTATATTTGGGACAATGGATATTCACAAGGGTTTGGATCCGTATGCTAGTGCATCCCATTTAAGTTTGGTGACGACATACTCAATCCGATAGTAAATTCAAATTTAAATAAAAATGTGGGAAAAAATTACATTATTCACCAGTCGTTATTTTTTAGTTCTAATGGCGCAGAAGGATCTTCAGTAAATCCAAACGGCCTGTAGTGTATAGAGTAAATATATAACGCTGAATAACTATATAACATCTAATGAATATCATTAAAACTTCAATTTGAAACATACGTTTTATTTATATTATTTTATCTATTTGGTAATAGCAATTGCAAGACGGCTACTCATTTGCAATTAGAATTCAAAGTGTAATTAAATGCAGATTCATAGTAGATTTATTGCTAGCTACAACCAAGATTCAGATATCATAAATCGATTTTATCGTCAGGCTGTTCATTGTGTGGGTAGGCGCGTGAATATTAGGTGAAAAAATGAAAATCAAGTGATCAATGATTCAGATAGTGATTAATATATTTGGAAATACACTCTTTCTGATTGCGTAAAAATTGTTGCGTAACACAGAAAATTACCTGATCCAAAATTAGTCTAAAAATATTAGTAAATTACGAAAAATTAATTTTTACTCAAGATGTAACCAACTTATTGGCAAAACCAATACATATTTTAAAATTCGTGCATTCTCTAGTGAAACAAAAATTTTATTTTGAGTCGTTACCTTTGAGAAATAAGATGAACATTTCTGCAATGAATTTTCCAAACCACTCTGTTATAGCAAAATGGATGCGCACTTCTTCGCACCAATCTAAGTCTACTCACACTTTGCGTACAAGTCCTTCTATATGACCTATATCAGCACAAATAGAAATCAACATATGAAACTGCGTTGAATGATATATAATAAAAATTTTTCTTGAAGGTGATCTTCTGAGCAACAGAAATTACATGTTCATCTCCTATCTGAAAAATGCAATTTTTTATCTTGATGTCTTTTAAAATAAAAAGAAACATGGCCAACTCGTTCTTGTGCTTCGACATCACCACTTGATAAAAATAAAGACATTTTATCAATCGTTAATGAAAGAAGTTGTTGAATTAATGTTTCATCATTATTCGATGATTGAATTAAATATATAATAATTTTCAAAATATTTTGATAGTAAACAGATTGAATAGGTCCAGGAAATAGAGTTATTTTTGTATTAAGCATTGATTCAAGAATTTTTTGTGGTTCTTTTAAATAACTATAGAGAAAAGTAAAACAAGAATTCTTTCAATTAACTTTTTTTTCCGTTATTGACTTACGAACAAAATTCACCACAAATCCATGCAGCAGCATATAAAACTTCGTCAACAGTTGTAGAATTTGAACCATGAATAAAAACATGAGCATTTTCAAGAAGAATTACCTAAAAATAGAAATAAAAATTTTTTTTGTGATTTTATTTTTGAAAAATTTCTACCATTTGATTACAAGCGAATGAAAAAATAGATTCAACACGAACAACAACATCAAGCATTTGTAAAGATATGAGATTACCATGTTTTGTACCTTCAAGACAAGTTAATTCAACCAATATACTAATATACCTATTTTAATAAATAATGTTTTTTTTTTCTATTAATAAAAATTAAAAAAATAAATGTAAACTAACAGTGTTGCTTTTTCTAAATTGCAAAAGTTGAAAGACTTGTTCGTATGGTGTTGGCTATAGCATCACACAAACTGACGATTTATCTGATAATATTTATCAAAGTGAATAGAATGAATTCAGTCGAGGGTGAAGCGAGTCGTAGAGACGAACGTTACTTGTTTCTAAAAGAATTTAGAAAAGTGCCACAAAAAATATTTCTAAAATTTTGGAGAATCTTTGTCTTTTTGTTTATACTGAATTCCAAATCATGATCAAGATAAAAATACTAGTATCATGAACAAACTTCTTAATCTTCTGCTGGAGATCCTTCATAGATCGAGTATGATCTTTCTAGGATTCGATGTGTTTTTTTTCTGAGAAAACAACTAAATCTTGAAGAAAGAGTATAGCCACGGAATTTCAGAATCCTGAATAGTTTGTCACTGTTTTTCGAGTAGGAACTGTTGATAAAATTGTAAAATTTCGGTGGTGGTGTGTAGTCAGGAAAAATAAAAAACTTTAATACGACAAGTGTGAATGTGAGCTTATATTGTGTTAACTAACAGTCACAGTTACATTTTCCTATTTCATCCTAACTAGATGAAATCTTAGTGGAATTCTACGTGTTATTCTTGCAAAGATTCTAAATAGAATTGGGAGTGAATCCTGCTAGAATCTTGCTTCTATAATTCAGAAAAAAATTTGGACAAGAACCTGAAGAAATTTTGAACAGGATTCTGTTTTACCGTGAAAAACTCTGGAAATAGGATCCTGACAGATCCTTTCAGGATTTCTCAGGAAACGAACAGGATTGGAACTAGAACAATATCGATACTAGAGTACAAACCAAATAATAATTGACATTATTAACTGAAAATAATTATATAATAGTGCTATATTTCAGGACAAGATAATATTATACTCTACTCATTTTTTAATAGTCAGAACACAGAACAAGAAAAAAAAACAACTGTGGACTATAATTCAAGAAGGTTTAATGCGTGTGAACGACATCTGTCTCGATAAAAATCGATAGGATTCATAGAATGAAAGAAACCAATAGAATTTCGATGGTTCTTGCGCAATCATTGAAAAATAGCTGTAATTGTGAAATACTGATACATCATGATGTCATTTGGCATATTCCCAGTGTAAAAATGAAGCTGTCGGGATATAAAGTGTGTTTTCGTGCGTCATTCAGTCACTTTTTTATTTTATAATAAGGAAGAGAGATGGTTTATTTCAACTCTCAAATATGTGATTCAGTCGTACCATATCGAAATGTACGTCGTATTCAATTCGGAATTTTATCTCCGGATGAAATTCGACGAATGTCGGTGACCTATCCACCGATTGAGTTTCCCGAATTGTTTCAAGAAGGAAAACCGAAAATACAAGGTTTAGTTGATCCACGACAAGGTCCGGCTGATCGAACCTTGAAATGTGATACTTGTCGTGGTTCTTACATCGAATGTCCAGGACATTTTGGTCATATCGAATGTCAGTATTTTGCTTTCTTTTTTTTTTAGAGCTAATTGAACAGATAAATGCTGTTCCTCTCTCATAGTGGTCAAGCCCATCTATCATATTGCTTTTCTATCGAAAATATTGAAAGTTTTGCGATGTGTTTGTTTTCATTGTTCGAAATTGTTGGTTGATCCAAACGATCCGAAAATCATTAATATTATTAAAAAAACCAAAAATCAAAATCGTCGACGTCTTGCACACATAGTTGAAGCATGTAAAAAACAAAAGATTTGCAAAGGTTTGAGTTCATTGCAAAATTCTATTCGAGAGAGAGTTTTGTCTTTTTCAAGGAAGTGACAGTCAGAATGATGTAACAAAAATATATTCGAATGGTTGTGGTCGAGTACAACCAACCTATCGTCGGTCAGGTCTTGAGTTAACAATTGAATGGAATCAAACAGTAGATGAAAATCAAGAATCGAAATCGAAATTATCAGCTGCACGTGTTCTCGAGATTTTCAAAGCTATTCCTGACACGATGTGTGAAATTCTTGGCATGAATCCTCGTCAATCACGACCTGATTGGATGATTCTTACTGTTTTACCGGTTCCACCTTTGTGTGTACGTCCATC